TTGAATAAAAATGCATTACCATTGAGTTAGAATTGACTCAAAATCGAAAACTCCAAGTTTTTAGAGGCTGTAAATTGCACAGGAAAAAAACATTAAATATCCTTCTCTCCATGAACTAGTGGTAAATTTGAACCATGGGGAGAAAAGTATTTAATTTTGGTGATTAGCGGATTCAATGAGATTAAATTAGAGGCTCTAGTCAGATTATATTTCATTTATTCCACAAATACTGTATGTCTATTATGTGTCCTAAACATTAAAAAAAATTATCACGACCTTCATGAAGTTTCATTTTAATTGTGATTTTAACGAAAGTTTAGAGAAAAGTTAGATTTTCATTCATTCATTGTTGCACATTTTTACCCCTTCTCCTTCCCTCCCCCTTTCCCAGTTAACTTTCTTGGTTTTTTTTAACTATTAATTCACTGTTGCACAATTGCCTCCCCTCCCCCAGTCTTCTTTGCAATATATCTCTTATTCTGGGCTGTTGTCATACATATAATGCCTAGTCATATATTTCTTTTAAACATACACAAAAACCAAGTCAAGGTGAATCAAGGACCTAGGAGTAAAACCAGAGACTATAAACTTCATTAGAGAAAAGCTTGGAAAAACTCTAGAAGCCCTAATTCATGGTGTGAACAGTCTTCCAAACATAATTAAAACTTACAACCATGAGGGAACAAAAGAGATCAATGGGATCTTCTAAGAATCAAATCACTATGCACACCAAAAAACTTTCTCAATAGGGTAAAAAAAAGCCACAGATTGGGGGAAAATATTTAATAATGACATATCTGAGAAGGGACTTGTATCTAAAATTTATAGAATACTCCAGCACCGCAACAAGGAAAAGATGAAAAATCCAATTGCAAAATGGGTACAGGATATGGATAGACATTTCACTAAAGAAGACATTAAGATGGCAAACACATGAAGAAATGTTGAAAATCCCTAGCTATTAGAGAGATGCAAATCACAACTATGAGATATTATCTCACCCCAGTAACAACAGCAAAGTTCAACAGAGAAGAAAACAATAAATGTTGGCAAGGTTGCGTAAAGATTGGAACCCTTATTCACTGCTGGTGGGATGTAAAGTGGTACAACCACTACAGAACGTGGTTTGGCACTTCCTCAAAAGTGTAGAGATAGAATTACCATTTGACCCCAGCAATCCCATTACTTGGAATGTACCCTAGAGAGACCATAACAGCCATCCAAAACACCCATGTTTATTGCTGCATTATTTGCAACAGCAAAGAGATTAAGCAACCCAAGCACTCATCAATAAATGAATAGAAAAACTATGCAAAGAGATGAAGCAACCCAAGTGCTCATCAACAAATGTATAGAAAAACTATAGTATATTCATACAAAGGCCCTGAGTTGTAATTGAATATTGCTGTTGTTGCTGCTTGTTGTTGATTGCTATCGAGTCGATCACGACTCATAGAGACCCGATGAACAAAAGACCTGAAGTCTTTCTATAAATAACACCATGTCAACAAGTTCATAGTGTTTCCAGAGGCACGTGGTTTAGGAAGTGGATGCCACTCTGGATTCCAAACCTGTCTTAAACTGGGAGCTCAGCCAAACGCTGTCCACCATGGACAACCGTTACAGTATTTGGCACCCCAAAGGTACAAGGCTCAGCATCACAGCAAACCTAGATTACCTCAGTATGGCAATTTGACAGAAGAGTGCTGTATGACTTAGAAGAATGTACCCCCAAAATATAACAACACTAGGCCCAATATTAAAGTTCAATAAATTTATGTTATATGAAGATTCTTTCTAACACACCTTCTCAGTTTAAAAACTATATATAAGAGAATTTTTACTTCTATAATTATAAAATACACTGGGGGGGGGAAAGGAATTTTGTTAGCAAATAGCTGTAGTAATTTGGCCACTACTGCGCATTTGTTCCATACCTGCCCAGCATTCTTCATTACTCCACTCACTCCAAATTCCCTCATCCGAGCAAAACATATTCACCTTGCTTCTTACAAAGAAGCATATATAATGGCTTTTATTTGACATTTTCACGGTGTACATTTCGCTTTCAATTGTGGTAGACTGAAAGTCAAGTGGAGGGAGGAAAAACATGCCATCATTTTTATGCAATTGGGACTAGACAGCTAATGTTTAATGAGAAACTTCCACATTGAATTTTACTGCATAAGATAGATGCATCAAAAAGACTGGAAAGATATATGTATACCCAATGATATCTTTCTGGCCAGTGGATTTTAAAAAATTCTTCTTTATCTACTTTTCACATTTTTCCATGATGATGGATTACTTTAAATAAAGCACTTATGAGACAAGGCAAAATTTCTATGAAGCTGTGATGTTTATGAAGCTCCAGTATTTGGATTAGTGTTAACTCTTCCAAATTCCATAACCAGGAAGACGCTACACACACTAAGCAAATAACACACTATTAAAGGGAATGGTGTTTCTATAGAAACTGTAGTTTTGGTTGTTTTTCTTTATTGTTGTTTTGATTGACTCGCAACTAGTCAGAGTTTGGCACGAAAATATCTTTTCAGACATTTAAAAAAAATCATAATGCCAAATGATCTCAAAGGAAAAATGAATCAGGGAAACAAGAATTTCTATTTTGCATTTCAAAGAGCTGAAGAGTCTATTGCTTCTAGAAAAATGGCTTTTCTTTTGCTATATCTTATCTTGGAAACCAGCATAATCTAACAAAAGGTTGAAATGCAGGGGGATTGGATTTGTTCTTGTTGTTCTAGCTGTATAATTCTATTGCAAATCTATTCACCTCCCTGGAATTCTGTTTTCTTATCTGTATAAGAACTTAATTTATTAGAACCAGTGACTTTTCTACTTATCTCTATTGTTGTATGCTACACAACTGATTCCCAAACATATTAACCCGATAAGACAGAGTAGAATGGCTCTCCTAGACTATAATTTTTAGGAACAGACTTCCAGGTTTTCTTTCCAGCAAAGCAACTAGTTGCTTCAAATCACCAACTTTTGGGTTAACAACAAGTGCTTAACTACTATGTAACCAGGGCTCCCTGGCAGCCTAGTGAGGAACACATCAGGCTGCTAACCAGATAGTCGGCAATTTGAATCTACCAGCTGCTCCATGGAATAAAGATAGGCAGTCTCTTCCCACAAAGATTTGCAGCCTCAGAAACCAGATAGTGGATCACTATGGATTGGAACCTACTTTAATAACAACTAAGTTTGAGTCTGCTTTAGAGTTTACAACTCTCGAAATTGGAAACCAGTTATTGAAATTAATTCATACATTGTAAGGCCAATGGCTATAGAAGAATTTGTCAGTTTTGCAGTTGTTACTTACATCCCCCATCAATCCCTATTCTGCTGACATCAGAAATTCTTTTACAACCTTGTTAATCTCTAGTCACCAAAAGTTATTTTAATAGGTTTGCTTTCTTTTTTATTGGGTTGGTGGTGGGTTTTTTGGGGTGTTTTTTTTTTAGTTGTTGTTGCTTGTTTGTTGGTGGTGGTGTTTTGGGTTGTTTTGTTTTATTTGAAACCCATTTTGGCTTTTGGCAGTATCAGTTTCATAACATCAAATTGGAAATGAGCAATTAAATTCTCTTTAAGGCCCTATTAGCTTATTGGCTTATACTTTCAGATTGCAAGCATTTTTGAACTAATTTTATTAACTTTTATCAACTAAACTATTTGACTGTTCTGATCAAGGTACTCCTCATGTGGCTAGCAACTCATTTGAGTTCTCAAGTTAACTTATTATATTTAAAAGACTTGTCTATGATTTATCCAAATAAATGTAATGTTCATACCACCCAGGTAGAATTGTCTTCCGATAATAAAATTTCATAAATGAAACACCTCGCTGGAATGGGTCCTTTGGGCACGTCCCATTTCAGATCGATATCATTTGAATCCTTCACAGTAAGAGCAAGGTGGTCTGGTGGCAATGGCTTAACTGTAAACAAAAGGAAAAACTTCAGCATGGAGAGTATTAAAGTCCAGCAGTAGCCTTTATAAAAATCTGGGGCTATCTAGTATCCTCTCTGGGGATAAACAAGGTAACTCCAGCCTAGTCCCAATGGTATGAATTGAGATAAAATAGCCTTGCAAATAGAGAAGTTTAATGAGAACCATGGCTATTCTGGAAACTCATTTCTTTGATAAGTCACATATTGACAAATAAGTCAATGTTTGTAAAATTTGTAACAATATTTGTAAAAGATAAAAGTTAGAATTTAGAAAATTTAGATCATAACAATCATTTCCTCCATTCTGTAGTATGAAGACCAACCACAGTCAGAACTATCAGTTTATTTTTATTAATGATGTTGTTGGTTTCATCAAGTCAGTTTTAACTAATGACAACCCAGTGTGATCAGAAAAGAACTGCTCGCTAGCATTTGATAAGGCTGGGAAATACTGTGAATGCTAAGAGGAAATGGCATTTTATCCTTCATTTGGTTCCTTCTGTTCTATACGTTGATTTTAATAAGATTTTCCCAGTACCCTCTACTGTCCTTTTCCCTGGCCTGCCATTCCAGGGTTCTCTTACTCTCTTTCTCTCTTTTCCTTTCTCCCCACAGTCATATAGGTGTGGATAGCCAAAACAAAAGCCTTATCTATTTAATTTTTTGTTTGTTTATATCACCTATATTTTGAAGCTGGAAAATGAAATAGCTGGATCTGATAGACATGGAATGTGATGATCCATTAACGCAGATGTAGAAATTTTTATAGTCTGAAGACTTCAAGTAGGGAAACTTGCATCCAATATTTTTTCCATTAAATATTATGTATTTGTCACACTCTGTTGCTCGATCCAAGCCATCATACCTGTAAAAAGATATGCTGTGAGCATTGTGTTTAACATATCTCCTAGTATTATCAAAGTGCTCTGGTAATTTCTATTAACATGTCAAATGAATAAAACAAGCATTTAATAATATGCAATAGGAATTGAGTATCTTGGATATGGCAGGCCCTGTGCTAAGTGCACAAAACCGACAACAGTCATAGTCCAGCTTCACAAAGCTTACTTTCGTTGGGAGTCTTTAGAATATCTCAAAGATGTGCACAGGGTTTATAAATAAAATAATAAAATGGCTCTTAAAGAAAGCTGAGTTTCAAGACCTACTTCAAAGCAGCAGTAGTGACCAAAATAGCATGGTCCTGGTACGATGACAGGCACATTAACCAACCAGTGGAAGAGAATCAAGAACCTAGAAGCAGACTCAGCTATGGTCAACTGATATTTGTCAAGGAAATCAAAGCTATCAAATGGGGAAATGACAACCTCTTCAACAAACAGTGCTGGCAAAACTGGACTGCCACCTGCAGAAAGCTGAAGCATGATCCACATCTCACAACATACACAAAAATCAACTCAAGGTGGATCAGAGACCTGGGAGTAAAGTGCCAAACCATAAAGTACGTAAGAGACAAACTGGGATCAAGCTTAGTTGGCCTAGTCTGTGGTATAAAGAGACTGCTAAATACAGCCAGAAATGCACTGAAGAGGATAAAATTGATGCATGGTACCTTCTAAAGGTTAAATCTCTGTGCACATTAGAAACTTTTTTCCAACAGGGTGAAAAGAAAACCTACCATCTGGGAACAAACATTTGGAAATATAATTTCAGACAAGGGTCTCATATCAACAGTTTACAGAATCCTACAGGGCTGATAATCCAATTACAAAATGAGCAAGAGACATGGAAAGAATCTTCACAGAGGAGGACATTCGAATGGCCAACAGACACATGAAGAAATGCTCAAAATCACTGGCAATAAGAGAGATACAAATCAAAACCACACTGAGATATCATCTCACTGAAGTAGCAGAGGCAAAGTTTAGCAGGGCAGCAAGTAATAAATGTTGGAGAGGATGTGGAGAGAAAGGAACTCTTACATATTGTTGGTGAGATACTAAAAAGGTACGACCACTCTGGAAGACAGTTTGACACTTTTTATAAAAACTAAACATAGAAATTCTATATGACTCAGATATTCCACTGATTGGAATATGTTGTTGTTGATTGCCATCGAGTCGAGCATAACTCATAGTGACTCTATAACTAAAGACCTAATACCTTTCCATAACTATCATCATTTCTCCAAGTTCATATAGTTTCCAGGGGCATGTGGTTTAGGAAGTGGATGCCACAACTGGGAGCTCCACCAAACACTGTCCACATTGGGAAACCATTCTGGTATTTGATACCCCAATAGTACAAGGTTCAGCATCACAGAAACCCAGGTTACTTCATACTGCACACACCCTGAGAAAATTATAACTGAGGTAGAAACAGAAAAATGTACATCAATGTTCATAGCAGCGCTATTCACCATAGCAAGAACACCGAAACAGCCCAAAGGTCCAATCATGATGGAATGGATTGAGACATTATGGTACACTCACACAATGAAATACTATGCAGCTCACAGGAGCAATGATTTTGTAAATTACCACCTAACTTGGGAGGGACTGAAGATCATTATTCTAAGCGAACTAATTCAGTTCCATAAGCACAAATACTGTTTAAGACCATTATTGTCAAATGAGTACAAGGATCCAAGGAGGGGAAGGGGAGCAGAGAGGGGATACTGTGCTGGGGTGCGTTGTGGCTTAATCATAGGGTCACACAATTTGATGGGTGGAGGGAGGGGTGGGTAAAAGGAAGGGGGAAGATCTGGTGTGAAAAACAATGTATTGGAACTTTGTAAGTAAACCAGTATAAAATAAAAATTCCATTTTTTAAGAAAAGGAAGCTGAGTTTATTCAAACAGTTTCAGATGGTACTGCAAGGTTTTTTATTTTTCTGGGAGAACTATTTGAGAAATAAAAAGTAGCTTTGATGTTAGTCAGGATTACTATTATGTTTTATAAAAATAAAGTACACTGAAGAGAAACATTTCCCTTTCAACACACACCAAGAGATAAAATTTTAAATGGTCAGCAAAAAGAAGGAAAAGTAAAGTAAGAAGATATTTGGCAAATAAATGTCTCATTTCCTATTCTTTAAAACAAGAAATGTCGACATAGCATTTAAAGTTAATGTCTTTCCAGTAATAATAGGAATTAAGAAGATTTTCCTTCCTGATCAACAAAAAAATAAATGCGTTGTCTATTTGCTGGGGGTGAGGGGACGGATAAAAGAACAAAAGCTTACAAGACAAAATGTAACATTATCTTTAAAAACAGAATCCCTTTTGAATGTAGCTAATATAGCAGGTCATAAGGTGCTGATACCAATGTTAGGGAGCTCTGGTGGCCTATGTACACTCTATTAAGTTCAAGTCGTGCAAAGTACTTCCTTAAGGTTATTGTTTGTCATCGAGATGGAATCAACCCATAGCTGACCCTCCAATGGGTAAATCACACAGGAGAGTACTCATCTTTTGTCTGTAGAGCAGCCGGAGTATTTAAACCATGTGCCTTTGGGATTGCAAGTGCAGCTTCTTACCACTAAGCCACCAGAGTTTCCTAACATATTCCCCATGGTGATAGTAGAAGATAATGTAGGAAAGGTGAGGCAGAAACTTGACTGCTAGCCGACATTTTATACTGGGGCTATGAGTAACATGAAACATTACAAGAGTAGGTCAAAACTAATGATCCATGTTACCATGAGACAATTAAGAAATAATGTACACTGCATTGAAACAGATGAGGGAAAGAACTGTTTAAAAGGAATATATGATTAGGTATTATTTGCATGACAACAGTCCAGAATAACAGCTGCACAGCAAGGTGGACTGAGGAGAGGAGGAAATTGTGCAACAATGAAAGATTTTGTTTTCCCCCAAGAAAAAAGTATACTGGCAGGGAGGGGGAGGGTAGAAAGGAAAATGTGCAACAATGAATGAATGGAAATCCAAGTTCTCTATAAACATTTATTAACATCTCAATTAAAATAAAAAAAAAGAAACGAATGGAAGAATCAAGATAGTTCCATGTCTAAATGTTTCAGCGACAATTCACAAAAGTAAAGCAGTCAGAAAAAGAATACCATTTCATTACAATTTAATAGATACTGGCTTCTTTCTACAGCAAGAACATAATGCATGCAAAAACCTTTTCATTTATGACTCCAACTAGCTAAAGGACTTTCTAGGTCTGCTGAATCTTTTCCAACTCATGGAAACTTTATGTGTGTCAGAATAGAACTGTGGTCCATAGGGTTCATAATGGATAATTTTTAGGAGTCAAGAAGAAGACCTTCTGCCCAAGGTGCTTCTAGGTGATTTGAACCTCCAATCTTTCAGTTAACAGTAGAGAGCATTAACAATTTGGACCATTCAGGGACTCCATCAGAAAAAAACAAAATGTAATACTGTATAGATTACAAGAAAGCACCATCTAGTAGCTAAAGGCTGAACTCATTTATGTCTACTGAAAATCCTCAATACTTGTAAGCAACAATCATCACAAACACAATTTGAAAGAATAAATGTAATCTTGTGAAAATGCAGTTACTCATATTGTGAATTAATTTTTTATGTGTTCTTAAGAGGGAATTCTAGTCATAAAAAATACCTACCAGTAAAATAAATGGTAATTGGTGTCCAAAGGGACATGACTACTAAGATTCCAAGAACAGAGTAAATATTGCCAGTTGTAATAGATACAATTCATATCCTGAATTTTCGTTTCTAGATTTCCTAGGGAATGCAGGAAAGAAAAAAGTAAACATTTGAAAGGCATGATGATAAATAATTTGGCAAGCCATTTTGCAATTGCATTTCATTTCTTTTTGGCCATCATGATTCTTTCCAAAGAAGTTTGTTGGAAATCACTTCACTGTAAGTGGGGCACATAATATCAAAAACTTTTGAGGGTTCATTTACTGACACTTGTATGATAATCAAAGGTATTAGGTAATGACTCTAGGCCACTCTGACTTGTTGAGCAACAAAATACTCATGTTCATGTTTACACATATGTCTCAATAACTCGGAACTACATTCATCTAATAAAATTTATATTTTGCTGAACATACCTGCTAACTTAAGGAATTTTAAAAGTAACAGAATGTGCTTTAATGACTGGGGGGGAAAATTCATCAAACAATATATGTTGTAACGTTTCACTCAAAGAACAATGTAAATAAAAGTATAATTTCCACAACATTAAAAATTTTCAATTTTCACAATATTAAAAATAAGGACCAGAACCTCACTTCAAGAAAGCTTTCCATTCAATGCCACACTGTCATAATGTCTATTACAGGTACCATCTGGCACATAAGAATTAGAGGACTAACTTAGTACTGTATGGCTTGTTTAAATGATATTAAGTATGAAACGAGAAATTCTTCTAACCTTCTAAGTGTGTCCGATAAGTAGCTTCTGACCATGAACTTTGAAAACCCGATCCATTTGTGCATTCTGATAGAAGTGTGTGTACCTTAGCTTCAACACCCTTGTTAAGATCAAATCCATCTTTGTAATATAGCTTAGTAGTAATAATAGTCTGTATAATAAAAATATAAGAGTAAGCTTAGACAGTCACAGGGTGATGTGCCATAGTAATAAAACTAAGTAGAACTCATTAATATCCTGAAGAGTCATCAATATCTAAGACATTCTTGATTATCTGATTGCAAAGCCCAAGATATATTTCCACCAAAGTTTACTTCTGTACATCATATCATTTCATGCCATCAGTTGAATGTTGTCCTCTCAGAAAGAAAGAGGAGAAAGGGAGAGGGAGAGGGAGAGAGAGAGAGAAGAAGAA